TATGCGAATGTGTATCGACTACAGGGATCTTAACCGGTTGACGATCAAGAACAAATATCCGCTTCCCAGGATCGACGATTTATTTGATCAGTTGAGGGGAGCCTGTGTATTCTCGAAGATTGATTTACGATCAGGCTACCACCAACTAAAGATTAAGGAGTCAGACATCGCTAAGACCGCTTTCAGGACTCGTTACGGTCATTATGAGTTTGTCGTCATGCCTTTCGGTCTCAGCAATGCGCCAGCAGTTTTCATGGACCTCATGAACCGTATTTTCCATCCCTACCTCGATCAGTTCGTTATTGTCTTTATTGACGATATCCTTATCTACTCGAAGAGCCAGAAGGAGCACGAGGAGCATCTGAGGGTGGTTCTCGAAACCCTCAGACGAGAAAAGTTGTACGCCAAATTCTCCAAATGCGAGTTCTGGCTCCAGCGAGTATCCTTTCTGGGTCATGTGACTACTCAGGCAGGGATCGAGGTGGATCCTTCGAAGGTTTCAGCCGTTCAGAACTGGTCGACACCGAGCAGTCCGTCCGAGATTCGCAGTTTTCTCGGTTTAGCTGGTTACTATCGCAGGTTTATCGAGTGCTTCTCCAAGAACGCCCTCCCTCTATCCCAGCTGATGAGGAAGTCTGTGAAGTTCGAATGGACTGACCGATGTGAGGCGAGCTTTCAGGAGCTCAAGAGGAGATTAACTTCAGCACCGGTGTTGACTATTCCCGATCCTTCTCGGAGTTTCACTATCTTCAGTGATGCTTCGAGACAGGGCTTGGGATGTGTCCTTATGCAGGACGGACAGGTCGTTGCGTATGCTTCACGTCAGCTTAAGCCTCATGAGCAGAATTATCCTACGCACGACTTGGAGTTAGCAGCAGTCGTTCATGCTCTGAAGATCTGGCGACATTATCTTTACGGCGGACGTTGCGAGATATTCATAGACCATAAGAGCCTACAGTATATCTTCACGCAGAAGGAGCTTAATATAAGGCAGCGCCGTTGGCTTGAGCTTGTCAAGGATTATGATTGTTCTATCCAGTACCATCCGGGAAAGGCGAACGTCGTCGCGGATGCCCTAAGCCGAAAGGTGAAGGGTGACTTGACGTACGTCATTTCGCAGCAGAGTCCGTTGATTCATGAGTTTGCCCGGATGCAGCTTCAGGCGATTGATGCACTTCCCATAGCTGTCTCGGGGAGTACCAGTGCCAGTGTCAGTGCTATGCAGCTTCAGCCGACACTGAGAGAGAGAATCCGGCGAGAGCAGGCTTCTGACGAGTTTGTTCGTGTCATGGAGGCCAAGGTTCGCGCCGGAGGCGACCAGGATTTTCAGTTAGGTGCCGATGGTGCCTTAGAGTTCAGAGACAGGATCATGGTCCCGAAGGTTGAGGCGTTGCGGAAGGAGATTTTATCAGAGGCACATACCGCACACTATCTGGCCCATCCCGGGAGCACGAAGATGTATCACGACCTGAAAGGGTCGTTCTGGTGGCGAGGCTTGAAGAAGGACGTCGCCGAGTTCGTAAGGAAATGTCTTACCTGTCAGCAAGTCAAAGCCGAGCATCAGAGTCCGATTGGCCTCCTGCAACCACTACCGATTCTGAGGTGGAAGTGGGATGAAGTCACTATGGATTTCGTTACGGGATTGCCGAGGTCGTCTGAACATCACGACGCTATCTGGGTCGTGGTCGACAGATTGACTAAGGTCGCTCATTTCTTACCCGTATCGATGAAGATGTCTCTGGACAAGTTGGCTGAGATATATACCCGTGGGATAATCCGACTCCACGGAGTGCCCGTCACTATTGTATCAGACAGAGATCCCAGATTCGTCAGCCGATTCTAGCACAGCTTACATGAGGCGATGGGCACGAAGCTTGAGTTCGGTTCAGCCTACCATCCGGATACGGACGGTCAGTCAGAGCGGACGATTCAGACGCTTGAGGATATGCTTCGCGCTTTGGTTGTTGACAGGGGTGCTAAGTGGGAGTCACTGTTGCCGTATGCCGAGTTCGCGTATAAAAACAGCTACCATTCTTCTATTCAGATGGCTCCTTACGAGGCACTCTATGGTCGCAAGTGTCGTTCCCCTCTCTATTGGGACGACGTTGGAGAGCAGCGAGTACTCGGTCCTAAGATGATCGAGGAGACAGCGGAGCAGGTCGAGTTGATCCGGCAGAGACTCAGGACAGCTCAGAGTCGACAGAAATCTTCCGCAGATCATCATCGACGAGACATTCAGTTCGAGGTTGGCAAGCCAGCCTTTCTCAGAGTTCGTCCGATTCGCGGAGTTGTGCGATTCGGAAAGAGAGGGAAGCTGCACCCTCGTTTCATCGGTCCGTTCGAGGTTTTCGAGCGAGTAGGCGAGGTCGCGTATCGTTTAGCCCTACCTCCCAAGTTATAAGGCATTCATAATGTATTTCACGCATCTATGTTACGTAAGTACGTGTGCGACCCCGATCATTTCATCCCTCATACGGATATTCAGGTTCAGCCAGATCTATCGTACAAGGAGCGACCGGTAGCTGTACTTGACCGTCAGGTCCGTCGGCTCCGGAAGCGAGATATTCCCCTCGTGCATATTCAGTGGGATCGCCACGGAGCTGCTTGGGAGGAGGAGTCCGACATTCGCGCTCGTTTTCCAGATTTCCAGTTTTGATGTACATATTCCTTTATCCTATGTACACAGTTCATGTATATCAGCTATGTTTTGAATTTCCGAGGACGGAAATTTTGTAAGGAGGGAGGATTGTAATATCCCGATATTTTATCGGTATAAATTATGTTTTAGTTCCGATATAATAAAGTTATCGTTTACTATTTTCGGAATTAAATATGCTCAGTCGAGATTACCAAAATTTATTTTCGGCGTACCGATTACGTTCGAAATAATTTTGGTAATTAAGCATTATGTTTAATTGAATAATTAAACATAAACTAAGTGATTAATGTTAATTAATCACACTTAGGCCATAATGCCGTGAGTTAAGGCAATTTTCCCAATTTTTTTTCACTAATGCCGTAAGCTTCCCTTAGCAAAGGGAAATGAATTTCTTTCCTTTCAAGTCATGCCACTTGTCACCTAAAGAAGGTGCTTAGTCATTCAATTAGCTCATGAGATCCTAGCAAATGTTGAGAGGAGAAGGGAGCCACGTCGCCGCTCATCACCCCCATCGGCCTAGTGTAAAAAGATGGCCTTAGAACAATTTTTGTCACTTTTTCCCCTTAAGAACCCATCAGCATATTCAGTACATCTTAGCTTCCTTCAACAGCAACCAAAGTCAAGTAATTTCCCAAAATTTTCCCTCAAACCGCACGGCAAACCGAAGCAACGCACGGCGTACACGCGGGAGCTAAAGGAGGTCACAATCAGTTTGATCATTCCGGCGAACACCTGTGAAGGTATCTTCCTCCTCATGTTAGAATTATGGTATTAGAGTCATTTTAAGGTTAATTATTCAAGAGATTTTCAGAAATTCGTAAGAAAGTTCATGTTGAACTCGGTTAGGGCATGTTAGTCCTATACTGAGTTAAGTTTAATTTTTCCGGCAAGTCCTGAGCATTTATCGTTCATTTAGCCTCTATTTAGTTCATCATGTTCAGTCAAGTACGTTTTGTCGAGTAAAGTTGGAGTTTTGTCGATAAAATGGCCCAAGCCGTCGCCAGAGCCTATCGCGCGTGGCCTCGGGTGGCCTCGGGCCGTGCCTTAGTGTTTTCAGTAAGGATCATGTTCAGCCGTGCGTTTGTGTCCTAAATTGCCTCAATATTGTGTTCATGTCAAGTGGTTCTGGAGTTGCCGAGTAAAAAGGTGTTTTGGCCGGGAGACGGCGTATAGCCGTCGGCGGCGCACGGCGCGCCCGCCGCGGGCCCTTCGTGTTCATCGTGCAACAGTTGTGTTTCAGGTCATGATTGATAATTATATTCATGTTAAGTCAGAAAAGGTTAAAAGAAGTCAGTTCGGTCGGAGAATGTTGCCGGACGGCCGGCAAAGGCCGGCCGTGGTCGCACTGCCGCACACAGCGGCAGCAGCGCACC